AACTGGAGCACTTGCTTCGAAGCCCATTCATCGGCATCAGTCTAGATGAGAGCACGGATTGCTGTAGGGGGAAACATCTGATAGTCTTCGCCACATTCATTCGCGAGAATCGTGTCGTCTGCGAGTATCTCACCCTGCTCACGGTGGTCAAGGTGGACGTTGCGTCCCTGCTCACTCTGTTGCTCTCATACATGGGGGTGATTGGCGTAGACCTGCGGCGGGTCTCCGGCATCAGCACCGATGGTGCGGCTGTGATGATGGGAGCCAAAGGGGGTCTGGTGACGCTCCTGCGACACCATATTCCTCACTTGGTGTCTTGTTACTGCATAGCACACAGGTAAGCGCTGTTTTTTATATGAGTGGCGTTTACACAAACGGACTGTTGTACGTATTAACACCCTTCTGTATCATGCATCATTTGTGTGTGCACAGAGAGGCACTGGCTGTGAAGGCGGCTGCAAATGAGGTGCCCGGTTTCAAGTTCATCGACGATGTGATTCGTGAACTGGCCGAGTTCCTTGGTCGTTCGGGGCCGTGGCACCAGCGGTATCTGGAGCTCCAGGACGTGTTTCTGGCAACGTCACTAGAGATGCAGGGCATTTTTCACGTTCGTTGGCTATCTTGAGGTGACGTTGTCATTCGTCTTGTCAATGTTCTCCCTGCAATCATTGTCATGCTCTCTGAGTTTCCTGACAAGTAGCTGTACAACGTTGTCACATCTTACTGTTTTTGGATCATGCTGATGTTTCTTGCTGATGTTCTCTAGCTGCTCAACACTCTCAACAAGACCTTTCAATCACGCTAAGTTGCCTTCTCTCAACAATTATGCTAAGTTGCCTTTTTTCTTTTTAAACCATACTTACTACGACTTGCCTTACTCTGCATATGTCCCCCCCACTCGCAGCTGGACTTCGGCTCCGTCAACTCGGCAATCAGCCGCATGAAGTCCCTCCTCCTAAGCCGCTACGTCGACTGCGGCGACGACTTCGCCGGGGGGGCGAAAGACCGCCTCACAGGATTTCTCACCCGTCACGGCCCTGGCGGTTCGCGCAGCGTCACCGTTGAAGGGCTGAAGTCCGATGGCAGCTCAACACGCTTCACCTTCATCCTGCATGACCGAGGGCTTCCGGACTATCCTAGGGGGTGGAAGCATGATGACTGCATGGTGGAGTGCGTGGCGTTGGCAGAGAGGCTGGTTAACAACCTATAGGAGCGGCTGGGGGATGTGGAGAAGTTGATCGGCTCCAGAATGTTCGCTGCGGATGAGTGGCCCGTGGGGTGGCTATGAGCTCCCCGGAATGCCCAGTGCCTTGCCTGGTTTGAGTCTCTAGTCGACCTCTACCATGCTGGCAAGGCTGTCGAGATCCTGCCAGGCATCGACAAGTTTGCAGCTGCCAAGGAAATCCCGCACTTCACCCCGGTTCTTGCTGCCCTTCCGAAAGGTGACAAGGGCTTCTTCACTGGTCTCACTGCCATGCTCAAGACACCAGACTGGCAGCATAGTTACCCAACTTGGTGAAGTTCTAGTGCGCCGTTGCCGTCCTGCCTCTTAGTACCGTAGAGTGCGAGCGCGGGTTCTCCCGCCAGAATAAGTTAAAGAGTACCTTGCGTGGCAGCATGAAAGATACACGTCTTGGGGACCTGATGTGCCTTAGCTTGCTAGAAAATGAGCCCGATTGGGCAGCAGTTGTAGAAATCTGGAGGGCGTACAAGAAGAGGAAGCCCTACAACAATGCTCCTCAGATCCAAGACCGTGGTAGCAAGAAAGGGAAGGAGAAAGAGGATGATGATGTTGGTGTGGTAGCTGTAGAGTACATGGAAGAGGAGGAGGATGAGTAGATTTTCTGCCCTCATAATACAATGCCTTTGGTTTTCAGCTCAGCTTAAATGTATCAACTCACCCTGAATACTCAGCTTAATTTTTCTTTCACTGCCCTGAAAAATCAGCGGAAAAAAAAGAGGGGGACTGAAAAAACAGGGTTTCTTTGGGGGGGGTGGGGGGGGGTGAGCAATCAGGGCACCTGTAAACCAATCTGAGGGCCTGGATGTATATAATCTGACTAAGGGCCTAAAAGCGCCCTCACAACGCAATGTGTGTTGGATGCTGTGTGAGGGCGGTAATTGGCCCTTAGCCAGATTTACCAGGTGACGAATGGTGCAGTTTGTACGAGGGCGCGGATTGGTCCACTGAAAACTCCACGAGATTTGTGCTTCTGCGTGGTGACTGCGCGTGGATTGTGTGTGGGGTGTGGGGAAGAGGGGAGTTTTTGTGAATGGTACTGGTTGCCCACCGCCAACCAGCGGTGTGCAAACTTGAAAGGCAACCCCCGTCGCGCCCTTCAATTTCGTTTCCGAACCATTCCCCAGCTCTCCCCGGTTACGCAATTGTGATGCACCACCAATCAATCCCTTCTCGCCCCGCACCCTTCTTTCACACACGACCCGCGCTGGCACTAGCTCCCTCAAAACGGCATGTGATCACGTATGAATTAGGCAATCAGACCAGGCCCTCGGATTGGTTTTGAACCACCCTGATTGATCAGGGTCGGGTTGAAAAAAAAAACTTTCCGTCAGGGTCGGTACCGGACACAACCCTGATTTTTCAGAGTCGGTACCGATTTCGACACTGACGCATCATGGTCGTGGTCGCATCGGATCGGACACTGAATTTGTCCTGTCACTTGTTTGTCATGCGGAAGAGCATGCTGTAGAGCATTACGTTGTCTCCATGGCCCTCGCTAGGCGCTTTCGTTTTGTGATTTCCGAGACGAAGCAAAATTCGATATCTAAATTTTCAGCCTAGTGGTTGCTTGTTCACACACTCCCCCGGGCTTTGCCATTGTAACTTCACATGCCGTAGTGGAAACAAACACATTCGATTCTCAACTCCCAAGAACCTTGGTCGGTCGGGTCCAAGGACGGTGGGGTCCAAGCCAAGGTCGCAAACAGGGCGAAACTTGGATGGGTCACGAACGAGTTTGAAAGGCGCGGGGGGAAGGGGAAAAAAAATGAAATTGAAGGGACGGGACTCGGGGAGGCAGGCAGCACCCTCACAAAGTGGTTGGCGGGGGTCAACCAGCGCCCCCCACATGTCAGCCCCCACCAACCTCACAAGCCGCAAAATCGGTGAAGGACCAATCAGGGCCCTCAAGCAGACTGCACCACACGTCACGCGCTGAATCTGGCGAAGAACCAATTAGCGCCCTCACACTACCACTCCTCGCGTTGTGAGGGCGCTAATTGGCCCGATGGGGTAAATTTGTCGAAGGGCCAGTTAGCGCCCTCACAAATCCTCCAGCAATTATCGGGCACTGATTTTGGCTAAGGGCTAATCAGCCCCTTCATACATCAGCAAGGATCGGTTTCAAGGTGGGGGGGGCGGGAGGGGGGAGGGGAGGAGGACTTCAGATTTTGTTTCAGGGTGCATACGCGATATGACACTGACGCATCAGTTTCGACCCACAAAAACACTCTGAAAAATCATTGTCCTTACATACAACGTCCCTGAAAAATCAGGGTCGACCAGGCCTCTGGATAGGATTAGAAGTACTCTTTCTTGCAAGGGTACTCGCTTGCTGCCACTTTTTCTGTAAGGGTATTTTTTAAAGCTACTTTGTAATATAAGGGTCCTAAATATTTGTACTTTTTCACATAAGGGTATAACTCCAGCGCAGCCTTACACTTTACTGTAGTTACAGGACCTCGCGTGATTAGACGACTGACGTGTTGCAGATACAGGTCATATGCCTTGTAGGCGACTTCCTTTTACGCCCGGGAGTATCTCATAGGCATTTTATCCTTAAGGACCTCTCCTTGTAAGCAAAGTGTACCTGTCTCAACTGAACAGTAAATATGACAGTCAAGTCGGATGATGTAAGAGCGTCCAATCATTTTCTCCTGTGCTTTCAGAGCGACCACGCCTAGTGGTCGGCGAGCCTCTGAAAATCCAGATGTGTCAGGCTCGCCAACCAATGAATCTGTTTTTCTTTTGAAACCAGGCCTGTGGAAGTGAGGGCAATTACACTGCTTTGTCAAGAAAAACAGGGTGAAATTTCGACGCCCGAGTTTTGAGTAGGGGATGGACTTACCCTGAAAATTTTAATGTAGAAGTTCACACCCCTAGAAAAAATGGCTCCCCTGTCATTGTCAGGAGTGGCACATTCTGAGCAGGGCGAAACTCATGCCTGCAAAAACAGTCAAAAGTTTTAGAGCTACCCAGCCAGGAAGACTTGGGCAAACTCGGATTACGCAGGGTGACCCCTAGGTTATCGAGGGACCAGTTTGAAACGCGAAGTTGATACACAGGTGGAGAGACTTGCGACGCTGCGACGTTTCCTCAATCGCTGCATACGCTAGTCAAGCCGCCCATGCACAGTACACAAAAAACACCGCCCCATTTCCTGGGAAAATCCCATAGTCCACGTTGCCCCTACCGTACGGCCCGTATTCGTTGTAAGCGAAATCTCTCGCGTCGCCCCCCGGGCTCTCAGGGCATATGACCTGTATGTGACGACGTGCCTTGGGTGGCACTCGACGGGGTGCACCAAGATTTTTGTTTTTGTTTGTTAGCGCTGAAGTGTGGGGAATGTCGCACCTCGGTAATTTTGCTGTTAGTGCGTATTTCTACATTAGTGCGTTCAGTACCAGGGAACCAAACTTCGCGAAGTACCAAATCGAACCGAACAGGAATTCGCTTTTTGACCCTCGAACCTCACTGTTTCGCGCTTCAGAGTCCATTCCGGGTTTGCTGGTACTGATTACTGCCTTGTAGAAATACGACCTCATTCACTAGACCCTTCCTGGTCGCGACCTCATTTCCCGTTGGTGCCCCACTCGGTTTGTTTTTTTTTTTTTTTTTTTTTTGTTTGTTATTTCATTTCTTTAGCTAATGTAGTGGCGGATACGACTCTACCAACACGAATTATACATTCAAGATGGCAGGTTTTGTAACCGTGCGCATCAGGGTCCCTACACTCGACCACTTTGAAAAAACAGGGTCCCGTATAGATCTAGTTTTTTTCATAAGGGTCAAAAACTAAACCACTTTTAAAAATAAGGGTCCAACAGCTACCCCACCCTTATTATAAGGGCCGTAAGGGTATTTTACCCTGATATCCTGAGGCCTGGGGTCTACCCCTTCCCCTAGGCTGAAAAATCAGGGTCAGTACAGCAAAACACCCTGAAAATCAGCAAAATCAGGAGAAAATTCCTGAAATCTCAGGGCCTGAATCAGACACACGTGGCATGATGACCCATGCATTTGCAGGCATCTACAAGAGAACATACTTAACAGAGTAATTTTTTTAGAAATACTGGTTTACTCTGACCATTCAGGGAAAATGTTGGAAATCACTCAGATTTTCAGTGTTCTGATTAAAAATCACTGCCAGATTTCAGAGTAGCGAAAACTCAAAGATCAGCACTGGTCTAGATGCGTGCCTTGCCGCGTTGAGAGATAGACCACTACCAGCGGCCTTTGCCCCATCTGTGGTACCTGTAGTGCCCCCCCCCCCCTTGTATTCTCCCCGCTCGTCCCTCAGGCCTCTCACCGATGCCTGCTGGTGAATCCCCGCCTCCATCAAACACACTTGGCACGGTACAATGGCCGCGACGCCTGCTTTGCTGCCTTTGCTGCCTTGCGGGTTAAACCACTACCAGCACCCTTCGCCCCATCTGTGGTGCCTGCCGTGCCCCTCCCTCCTTCCCCCCTCTCGTCCCTCATGCCCCTCACCGACGCCTCCTGGTGAATCCCTGCCACCTCATCTGCCCTCGATGCAAACACCAAGTCATGAAACGACCTCCCTGTTTTCCTCTCTCCCTCACCCTTCTTCTCCCCCTTCCTGTCTCCTTTTTCGCCTCCCTCCCCTACCCCCCCCAAATCCCCCGCCTCCTCCGTCTCCCTCATCAGCTTACTCTCCTCGATTTGCTTCTTTCTAAACCACTCATGAGCTGCCACGTGTGCAGCTGCCATGTCATCACTGTACCGCTCAACCTTCACCATAGTCACAAGCCGCCTGCTCCACCTCTTGGTCAGAATCTGCTCACTGTTAGCCGCCAACCTTAAGCACGGGTGCCCCGGAATATCCGAGGGTAAATACTCCTCCCGGGCAGCCGGGTAGAAATAAACTAGCCGCCCGCCAATGGCAAGCAGCCGGGCAGCTGTGTCTAAAAGATCGTGCAGGCATTCTTCTAGGGAGTAAGGTGCAGTGGAGGGAATGTGGGCAGCTTTCAAGTCTTCTGCTATAGAGTAAGGGTCGGTCACCCCGTTGAGAATTTTCCTCCCTCCTGACTTTCGGCCGCCTGCCCGAACGCCGTACGGAGGATCACAAATGATGGCATCGAAGATCTGGAGAGTAAAAGGGGGAAAGAAAAGAAAATGGACGGAGGAGAAGAAGCCAAGGGAAATTAAGAAAGGGGAGACTCTTGAGTCGAGTCAAAGGAGGATCATAAATGATGGCATCAAAGATCTGGAGATTGGGGGGGAGCAAAACAAGAGGGAGAGGAGGAAGCCCATAGCAGGGGGAAAAAAGGAGAGAGAAATGACGCAAAAACAAATAGCAGCGAGGAACGGGAAGGGTTTGGGTGGGGAGGGGAGGCGGGAAGAAATGGGGGGGGGCAGAAGGCATTGAGGCGGAACAGAATGACTCACGTCAATGACACCTTACCATATGCACTGACCTCTCCTAGAGAATTACACGTTTCACTTGGAAAGGACAGGAATACAATGTAACTGCTGTAGGAGCAGGCAGGACACAAACATTCCTCTCAATACTCCCCTCAACTCACGGCAACATGTGTCATGCTGCTGAAATCACAGGAACGGCTGCAATGAACATCAAAATCAAGGGGCGAGAAGTGCGCGCACCTCTCGCAAGTCTTGCCTCCAGGGCGGGCAATTGTTGTCGGCTCTCAGCAATCCCACTGGCGGAGAGAGCGAGTACTGGATGGGGCAGTGGTAGGATTGAGGAGGGGAGGAAAGGAAAGACAGGGCGGAAATATGGGAATGCAAGAAAAGGGCAGGGGGGCAGATGGCTCCAGGGCAGGCAATAGTTGTCCGCTCTCAGCAATCCCACTGGTGGAGACAGAGAGTACTGAGGGGAGGGGGAGGAGAGAGGTTGGGGGGGGAGGGGGGGGGTAAGTAAATAACACGGACAGAGATTACTGAGGGGAGGGGGGAGGGGAAGGGGGGGTAAGTAAAGAACGCGGCATGAGCAGGGGAAGGAATTGCTTCCAGGGGAGATAGCTCTCAGCAATCCGACTGGCGGAGATAGCAAGTACTGGAGGGGGGGAGAGAGACGGAGAGGGTGGCATGGGACCAGGGGAGGAGAGAGGGGGGGGGAGAGGGGGAGGGGAGAGTTGGAGGGGAGAGGGGGAGAGGAGAGGGGGAAGGGAGAGGGGGAGAGGAGAGGGGGAGGGGAGAGGGGGAGGGAAGAGGGGGAGGGGGAGGGGAGAAGGGAAAGATGTGCAAGGAGGGTTGGACCAGGTGCAGTACGGAGAGGGAGGGGAGAGGGAGAGGATGTGATTGAAGACCTGTAGCACAGGTGCAGTGTGAACCAGTCGGCGTTCTTCCGGCATGTGATGTGACAGATTCTTCCAGCAAGACCAGTTGACAGTGCACGCCGGGTCTTGGGCCTTTGAACCCTGAGAGATCATTAACTGCGCTGCACGGATGCACCCTACCATAAGCCACACAGGTGTGTGACCCACCACCCTGAATACACGCAGACTAAAATCAAACACAGCTAAAACAGGCAAAGCGCGAACCGAACACTCTCAACACCCACTCACAATCAAACTCAAACCATCTACCATCAACGCTCCCCTAAACCCTAAGCGTAGCACTCCCCTCGACACTCCCCTCGACGCTCCCCTCAACAGTCACTCACTCACAATCAAACTCAAACCAGATAGAAGCCCGTAAGCCCACGCACCTGGTGGAAGTTCGCCCACACGTCCCGATTTGGCCCCTTGCCATCCCGAACAACCCTGATGTCGATGTCTGCTCCCTGTGGGTATTGCATTGGCGGGTGGGGGGGGAGAGGGAGTTTGAGTCGACTCAAAAGTCACTGTGTCCTGTGGTCTCGTATAGGGAGTGAGTGAGTGTGTGTGTGTGTGTCGGGGGGGGGGGAGGAGGGAGGGGGATCTTAATCCAAATGTCAACCCAAAAGACAGCCTAGTCTCACACATTGGCCCACCATGGTTACCAGTTGTAGGGCTTAGGGTTTTAGGAGTTAAAAGTCATTTGGTATAGAGTCTCATTGTCTCACCATGGTAACAGCACCGGAATGAGCAGCAGCAGCTAAAATGCTCTCCGGGCCCACAAAAGGGTCGCAAACAAGCAGTCCTCGCCATGCAAGGTTTTGCCTGGCATTCACCAGAGCAGACGGTTTTGCAACTCACCATAGTAACAGCACCAAAGTGAGCAGCAGCCACCAGAATGCTGTCCATGCAGACGTATGGATCACACATCAGCGCTCCCCACCAGAATATTGAAGGGGTTGCGTATGAATATTCAAGTATTTGGGATGTACACTCGAATCTTAGTTGCTACAAACGCGTTTGGCGTTTGAACGCTAGCGTTCAAACGCTAGCGTTTGAACGCTAAACGCTTGTCATAGTGTATGTGAACGCTAGGCAAACGCTTGCCCGGGCAGGGCTAAAAATTTTGCCCGGGCAGGGGTAAAATTTTTCTGTGGGGGGGTGGGGAAATGGGGGTTCTGCAAGCAACCATTTTGTCCAAAAAAAAATAATCCTTCATGAACATTTATGCAAGCATCCTCAAATGTCATGCAAAACACATGTCCTAAAGCCCATTCTCCCTCCCCAAACACAACAACAACCACTCCCCCCCGCCCTTCCCCAACAGTGCTTCGTGCCCTCTATCTATCCGTCCATGCTACTCCGCACCCACCCACTCCTCCTCCCCGTATTCGTCCGCGAGCACGGGGTCAATCCCCTCCTCATCATCCTCTTACTCCCCGTCTGCATCAACATTGTAGCCTTTGGGGATGGGAGCCGCCGGGATGTTCCCGGCGAGCACACGCGTAGTCCTGTCGAGGGACTTGTGCCAGTTGCGCACAACATGCCAGTTGTGCGCAACATACACGAGGTCCCTACACTTCTCGGAACCCAGCCGGTTCCTGCGCGCCGTGTGCACAGCTTCCCACATAGACCAACCGCGCTCGCAGCTAGACGCGGACACCGGCTGCGTGAGCACACGGCAAGCCAGCTCTGCGAGCTCGGGGTAATCTGTTCCATGCCAAGTCCACCACTGCTCCATCAACATACCCCCCTCCTTCACCTGCTGCCGCTGCTGTACTGCTTCCGGCATGCCAAAACTCCCCTTCATATTCAAGAACGCACTAACCCCCTCCTGCAGAACAGCTGCCCCACTCTTTCCCATCACCTTCTTCCTGGTGATAGTCAAGCCGCTGCCGTAGCGCGCTATGAACTCTTTGAACACATTGGTGCACTCCTCATCGGGCCCAAAAATTTTCTCCTCCTGGTTGGCCGGATTGAGGATCCGACCAACAGCATGGAGGGGAGAGGCCATGGATAGATCCCACCTCCGCTGCACAATCTCCTCAATCGCCTCCTTCTCCCCCAGCGTCAGTTGCTTGTCCTCCTCCTTGAGCAGGTTGTGCACGTCCTCAGTCAGCTTCAGCATCAAGTCGTAGATCTGACCCATCATCCCCTTAGCGGTTGAGTCGGTTGCACGCATGACGACATACGGCAGTTTCAGCAGCTTGGTGAAGAACTCAGCTGCTGCCCACCACGCCTTGTCACCCACGATGTTCTCAACGGATTCTGCTGCCGCCTTCTGCTTCCCAACAGCCCACCCCTTCCACACATCGCCCGCCACCATCACCCTCAATTTCTCCTGCAGCTCCACAACGCGGGACACCGCTATGTATTGGGTGCCGAAACGAGTCCCTGCCGGTTTCAACATCTGCAATACCTTCCCGTTCAGCTCCCCCGGCTCGCGCAGGTAGTTCCGGGTCCAGTGGTGGTTGCGCACGTAGTTGATGACTTCGTTTGCACGCTCCACCACCTTCTTCGCCCATGCCTGCTTCCCCACATCCTCCATCAGCAGGTCCATCACGTGCGTGGCGCATGGAACATGCTCAATGTGCGGCCACTCCTCCCTCAACACCCGCGTGGCAGCCCCATAGTTACTCCCCCCGTCCGTGCAGAGCGCGACGACATTCTGCGGTCCAATCTTCTCGATCACCGGGCGAAGGAGGCTGGCTATGTATCCGCCGGTTTTGGTTTCCATCCGGCAGTCGATGCTCTCCGCGAACATGGCACCCGCGTCATTCACCAGCATGATGTTCGCCTGTGGGCGCCCGCAGCGGTCGGTCATCATGTCCGACGCAACAGTCACACCATGGCGCTTCCAAGTCTTCGCGACCGGATCTAGCGCTAGCTCAATGCGCTTGCGGCACTCCTTCAACCCCGCGCCACCGATGTAGGCGCGCCCGGGCGGCACGTACGACGGTCCAGCACGAGCGACCGCTCGGAGAGCGTCGAGGAAGAATGGATGCGCCGCATGATGTTCGGGGATTCGGAGGCCGGCGAACATGAGCGCCAAAGCCACGTCTGCCTCTTCTTTGACGCATTGCTTCTCCCCACTGAAATAGCCAGTAATCTTGTTTCGCTTCCCACCACCACCAACTGCAGCCAAAGCATCCTCCTCCGCCTTTTTTTTCTCAGCCTTCGCATTCGCCTTGGTCTCATAAAGCACGCGCATTTCTTCCCGTACCTCGCTAGACGCCTTCGTACACTCCTTCACCTCCCGCCGCCCTTGTCCATTCCACTTGGTGAAATGTGCGGCGCAACGGTTGGGACTACCGGCCATCTTGTGCCCACAAAAGCGACACTCGTATTTCTGCATTGCACCGGCCTCCTTGACTAGAACGCGAAAGTATTTATAGACCTCATGGTTCTTATCCGCCTCGTACGCATTAGAACATGCGGACGGTGTAACATCAACATCCACATCGCTCTCAGGGGTTGACATGGCCGAGCGCCCTTAAGGCTATGGCGCGCGGCAATTAGAAAGCAGATATGACGGGGGAAGCAGATCTGACGGGAGAGTTAGCATGAAACTACGAGATGTGAGGAGGAGGGGTTGGAAGCTCTAGTTGACGATGTGTGGAGTGCGGTGGGGGGGGGGGAGTTGGTTGGGAGGTGAATATTGACGAGATGGTTGGGAGTTGGGACTTGGCGAATGTCGCGCTGAATTCGCCGAGTCTCAATTTCGCGCCAATTTTTTTTGACTTTTTTTCCGGGGGCAGCCCGAAAAAAAAACCCAGCGAGCGTTTGCGTTTTAGGGTTCGTTTGGCGTTTGCGTTCAAACGCAAGCGTTTGAACGCTAAACGCGCGTCTGCCAGAGCGTTTGTAGCAACTTAGACTCGAATTACTCACTTGGGATTAATCACCGTCGTGATTGCGCCCAAGGGAGCAGCAGCAACCAGAATTCTGCCGTGCCAACACACGGGTCGCACATGAGCGCTCCCCGCCGTGCGAGGTGATAAAAGCACAGGGAAAATTCCCACCACAGTAACAGCACTGAAATGCGCAGCAGCCACTGGAATGCTGCCCGTGCCCACTAGCAGATTGTATATAAATTCTCCGCACTGTGCGAGGTTGTAAAAGTACAGGGGACAATCTTACCATGGCAACAGGCACCGAAATGCGCAGCCGCAACCAGAATGCTCCCAGTCCCAACAAACGGGTCATACATGAGCGCTCCCCGCCATGCGAGCGCCCTGATGGGCCATCAGCAACACCAGGTTTGAGGTCTTAGGGCTCAAGCCTTCTATTGTTGTTCAGTATTGAGTCTTACCATAGTAACCGCACCGAAATGAGCAGCAGCAACCAGAATGCTCCCCGTCCCAACAAACGGATCGTACATGAGCGCTCCCCGCCGTGCAAGCGCCTGATTGGCCATCAGCAGCGCCAGCTCAGCATCCATGGCGGTGGGGCCCAGGTACTGCCTGCGACTCAACTCGTACTTTGTGGCCACTGTGCGATCTGTTACTGCAACCTGCCAGGAATCCGTGAAGAAATAATGGGGCAGCGTGGGAAGTGAACAGGGTGGCTGTTTGGGGCAGCGCCAGCTCAGCATCCATGGCGGTGGGGTCGAGGCACTGCCGGAGGCTGAGCTCGTACTTTGTGGCTACTGTGCGATCTGATACAGCGACCTGTGATGATTATTGGGAGGAGGGATGAGGAAGATGAGGAGAGTGGTAAGACACCTCAACTCGCACTTTGTGGCTATGATGCGATCTGACAACGCTACCTGCAGGTGCATAGCGCAGTGTGTGGGACAGCAGTGGGGGGCAGAGCGGGGGGCAGAGCGGGGGGCAGAGCGGGGAAAGTAGGGCGGGTGTGTTTGTTGGGAGGGAGGCCGTTGAATTGGACACCAAGTAGAGGTGCCAACTAGTCAATGCAAGTGTTTGCACCTTCCCCAATGGAGGTGCCAATTAGTCAATGCAGGTGTCAATGCCAAGAAGTCAATGCAAGGCGGCATCTTACAGAGCAAAGTACTCAAGTTGTTCGCTTTCAAGTGCTTCTACACCCACCTCTCGGCCAATAAACACGCGAGTGGGCATGTTAGGGGGAAGGCCGTTATTGGTGCTGTCTGCTGCCTGCTCTATCACCCAGAACTTGTGGTCGGGACGGCTCAGATTCACACGACCCTGCAAATGGCAGACGAAAAGAGGGCATGTGGGAAGGGGAGGAGTGGGAGACAGGAAGGCACGTTGGGCGGAAGGGAAGGCCGTTGCTGGTGCTGTCTGCTGCCTGCTCTACCACCCAACCCTTGTGCTTCAAATCGCTCAGATTCACTCGACCCTGGCATTGCCGGGGGTGAGGGGGGAGATGGCAAGAGGTGGGAAACATAAAAGGGGGGGAAATGAGTCATGTTGGGGGGAAGGCCGTTGCTGATGCTGTCTTCTGCCTGCTCTATCACCCAAGAACTTGTGGTCAGGACGGCTCAGATCTGCTCGACCCTGCCTGGGGGGAAAGGGAGGAGAAGGGGAGCGTGGGAAGTCAAGTCAATAAAACCTTTTTAAGTGGAGGACACCCTAACAGGACGCACTAGCAGCGGAACCAAACAACTAACCTGGAAGGAGGACGAGGGGCTATAAAAGGAGGTCACTCAACTGACATGGAAGGGGATGTATGTGAACCACTCCATTCTCTCCCTCTGCTTCTCCATGGAGAAGATCTTCCCAAAGCCGTCCACCACCACACTCTTGAGGAGGTAGAGGTGGCTGTGAAGGGTGGTGGAGGGGCTATGAAGGTTGCGCCAAGGGGCTACAGAAGGAGGTAGCGGCACGCAGGGGCATGATGCGAAATCAGCTCACCTGGAAGGGGATGTATCTGAACCGCTCCATTCTCTCCCTCTGCTCCTCCATGGAGAAGATCTTCCCAAAGCCGTCCACCACAAACTTGAAGGACGCAGAGGGGTCTATAAAGGGTGTGATCTTAGCGGCCATGCTCGCCTGCACCAGCGGCTCTAGCGCCTTGTATGTTGGGGCCTCCGCCCAGATATCGAATATCCCCTTTATAAGCAGGCCTGGGGGGGCAGGGGGAGAGGGAATGGAATAGATGCAAGGAACTGAGTGGACGAGCCGGGGGCCATAAAGGTCGCAATGAATCCTATATAGGACGTGACTTTAGCAGCCATGCTTGGCTGCGCCTGTGGCTCTAGCGCCTCTTATGTTGGGGCCTCCGCCCAAATATCGAATATCCCCTATATAAGCAGGCCCGGGGAGGGGGGAGTGGGGCGGGGGGCGGGGGTTGGGACGGGGAAAGGTGGGGGGGGAAGGGGGTAGGTGGAAAATGAGGGGGGGTTGGTGTGAGAGAGTGAGGAGAGGTTGGAGGGCGAGAGTGGCGCGACAATGGACGAAAGGAACCAGAGGGAGGAGCGCTGATGGAAGTGGCCGGGAATGGGGGCGGGTAAGCCAACGCCAAAGGACGTAGCTAAAAGTGAAGGAGGAAGGAAGTGAGCTACGAGGAAGGGGGGGTTTAGAGCAATGGCGGGGCGAGCACACCCCCTCCTAATCTTCCAATTCCATCCGCTCCCTGAGCCTCTGCAGGCTTTGGGTCCGCCGCACTGCAAACTACTCCACAACGCAAACCCCTTGAGCGACTACTGGAGCACCGCCTTCTGTTATCCTAAACCCTGAACCTCACGCTGTCAGTGCAGTCAGTGCACAGCCAATTCCTAAACCCTGAACCTCGACGTTGTCAGTGCAGTCAGTGCACAGCCAGTTGCTAAACCCTGAACCTCGACGCTGTCTCTATGTGCAGTCAGTGCGCCGCCAATTGTCGAACCCTACAAGCGAAATCTGCTTCATGAAGGGTTTAAGAAGTCGAGTGAAAACTGGCGCTCGAAGCTTGTGCGCCGCCTGTCACTAAAGCCCACAATTTATGCAGTATGCCAATTCCAATTCGAAGGACATGCGCTAAACCCCCCCAGCCATGTCCACTACAAAGCGCGGGTCTATAAAGCCTTCCAACGTTTCCTAGAAGAATCGACGGATCGTGCTGCCTCGCCACTCACTTCTAGAAGCGATTTGCCTAGCCACGTCATCAGACGGCAGATCCACGTAGAAGAAAGGCGAGTCCATGTGGTCGCCACGTGGCTTCCTCCACCTCACCGGCTCCCACGCGCTCCCCCCTCCCCCTGCTATCTCATCCTCTCCTTCTCCTTCCATCTCCCCTTCTCCCCTCCTCCCCTCCACTCCCTCCCCTCCCTCCACTCCCTCCACTCCCTCCACTCCTTCTCCATCGTTCATCTCCTCCCTTTCTCTTCCCTTCTCTCCCTCCCGCTCTCCCTCTGACGAAGCCGAGCTGGCAGGCGGGCGCGAGCCCACGTCATCATGACGTGGCACCGGCTTCTGAGCTGGCGGGTGCACGCCAGAGAGGACGGCGAGCGACTGCAGCTCGTCGAGGCGGAAGTCGAGATGGCGATGCATGAAATACGCCAGATACCACATGGCTGCTGCTGCTGCTGCTGCTGCTGCTGCTGCTGCTGCTGCTGCTGCTGCTGCTGCTGCTGGAATAGGGGAAACTTATCAGTCACGCTAATGGGATGCCTAATGAGGTGAAATTCGCTGCTTCTGCTGTCGAGCGGAGGCCAAATTTCAGTTAGAGTTAGGTGAGCACCACGTGGCCGGCGCTTGTGCGACAGCGCTAGAGTCGTAGTCAGAACGCGCCCGCTTTTCACGCGGCCGCTTCGCACGGAGAGGGAGGCAGTGAGGATCGTAATCGACCAGTAGCTAACTAGCAGACTGGACAAGGCGAGTCTTGCGGCTGACGACGAGTCGACTGAGTCGACTGTTGAGAGTGGACGTGTTGGCAAATCAGTCACAGCGTCCACCTCTTGTCCGTCCAAGCATCCCACTGCCAGATGAGAATCTCGAGGCACTGGCACTGGCTTGCATCTCGCAACCAATTTATAAAGAGACGGAAGAAACACGAGCATCATACAGTAAATTGGCTTCACTTCGTACCGAGTACAGTATACCCGCTGATTCTGGTTAGGGCCGAAGCATAATAATTTCTTCCCCATAACTTATAACTCATTGCAGTTTTGATAAAGCCTAGTCCTAAGAGCTGTACTATTACACAAAGCATCAAGCATAAATTATCATCTTTAATCATAATATACTTACTGTTAAACATATTTGTATATATTATTATAGGCTAGATAGGTGCATGCTTTTAGAGGGTACAACACCCTAGTACAAATTCACGCAGTACCTTCTATTCAAGTAAATCCGTTACTCTGAGATGGTATCATGCTAGGTTAGGTCCTCCCCGCCCATCCGCGCTTCCGCCCTAGTCCTAGCCCTAGCCGCCCGTCGCTAGCCGCCAGTTCCTAGCCGCCTGTCGCTAGCCGCCAGTTCCTAGCCGCCTGTCGCTAGCCGCAGCTGCTAGCCGCTCGCCGCTCACCGACGCTGGCAGCCTGTCGCCTCATGCCGCTCGTAGCCGCCAGCCGCCTGTTGGCGCTGGCCACCCCTAGCCGCCAGCCGCCCGCCGCCCGTCGTCGCCAGCCGCCCGTAGCCGTCAGCCGCCTCTAGCCCACTGGCCCTGCGCTCGCCCGCTGGCCCGCTGCTCGTCGGCCCCTGCCTGCCGGCCCCTGCTCGCCGTCCCCAGTCCGCGCCAGCCCCGGCTCTAGCTGGCCTCTGCTCGCCGGCCCCTGCTCGCCGGCCCTCTGCCACTCCGGCCCCGTCCGCGCTGGACCCTGTCCGCGCCGGCCACGGTCACTGCCAGCCCTAACAGCGCCGCGCCGCTGAGCTGCCGCGCCGCTGCACCGCCGAGCCGCCGCGTCGCCGCACTACCAAGCCAATCTGCCGTCCTTGGCTTCCCCTTGGCGCCGGCGCTCCCGCCGGCCATCTCCATCGCACACCACTGCTCTTCACTGCACTCCACCGCTCTCCACCGCACTCTACCGCACTCCACCGCTCTCCACCGCTCTCCATCGCTCCCCACCGCTCTCCACCGCTCTCCACCGTCCTCCGCCACGTTCCTCCCCCTCCAGCGGCCGTCAGCTGCTGCAGCCGTGGTGATGGCGGACTCGCTCTTCCGTCAGTGGACGCTACCACCGCGCTCTCTTTCACGTTCGACTCTGGTGCGTCCACCTGCTTCTTTCGCGACCACACTGTACTCACGCCGCTTGCCACCCCTGCTGCTGTAGCGCTTGCTGAACCCTCCTTAGGTCCGGTAGTTGCACGTAGCTCCACTACCCTTCCCTGTCCGGCGGTTCCCTCGGACTCTCTTACAGGCTTGCACATCCCTACGTTCTCTAGAAACCTAGTTGGTGTCGGCTGCCTGCAGGACCTCAGCGTCACCACTACGTTCTCTGGATACGAGCGGTACGCAGTCTATACCGAGACTGCCACTAGTGCCCCTCTTACCACGTTCCCTCGGGATCCCGTATCTGGCCTGTTCAACCTAAACACCGTGTCCCCCCCGGTGGGAGCGTCCCCGCAAGTCGCCGCGTCCTCCCAGGTTGCTGCAATTTGCTCGTGTCGGTCGCTCACCCACCCGTCGCTTATGTGGCACCACCACCTAGGTCACCCGCACTCCCGATGTCTGCGTCACATGTCCCATCACGCTCTAGTCTTAGGACTCCATGTGTCACTCCCTGCTCTCCCTCCCTCGCATGCACCGCCGTGCACGCCCTGCGTCGACGGCCGGCTACCCCGTGCCCTTCAAATTTCCTCGTTGACCCCACCACTGCGGCACTCCGGACCCTACACTTGGACGTTTGGGGCCCAACCCCCCTCCCTGGACTGCGTCGCGAGGGCTACTTTCAATACAGGGAGACCTAAGACAAGGTGACCGCTCGGCACACCCCACGTTCGCCGATCCGATGGAAGTCGACAGGTTTGACGGGCGGCCACGTCCGAAAAACGCCAGCTTCACATGCGATTGTTGCGGAGTGCTGAACCATCGAATCTTCGACTGCAGCAAAATGAAGGCCAAACTTGCAGAGTATCGAGGCGCAACAGTCGCTGGAACGTTTCAACCAATCAGAAGACAAAAAACAGAAATCGCCACTGGCTGAAAAGGAAAAGACCCGAAAGCGGCCGTGAGATCCCGAGAAAATCAACTTCAACGAAGCTGACTCAATGCTAGGAGGAGGAAATGATGGGGAAAATCTCCACCCCATGACCAGTCTTCGCCAAGGATAATCGCAGAGGAAAAAATTGAATCTGTGAAAAAAGGTTCTACCGAGAGGGAGAAACTCCTAGAAGACCCAATAAATTATAAGGATTTAATAAAGCTATCTTACAAAGATGCTTTAATGAAATCTTATGATTTTCGGGAGGCCGGAGCCTTGGAGAAATTTTGGGAAGGACTCCGAAATAATAAAATTTAGGAGATTGTACTAGTACTGGAAACCTTGGGGAAAAAGGCAAGGAGTGTGGAAAGGAGCCAAGGTCAAGGCTTGCACTCCTCCGAAATGCCGAACGACCGACTTTGGGAGGAGTGCAAGCCTTAGGCATTTTATGCAATAATGGTGGACGACAGCAAGATACCAGTCTACGGCGAAGCCCTGTTACATATACAAATCGGACCACTTCATTGGAGATCCACCCTTCCCATCACCAATATCAAAGGGATTGATTTGATCTTAAAAAAAGGCTTCCTTTAAAGATTCAACCCCGATATCAACTGGTTCAACCGCACAGCCAACATCTACAACAAAGAAAGGAGAGTCCAACCACCAAACAAGAAAGGACTCATCCAACCATCCACTTCACCGTACAGTGCCCCAACACTCTTCACACCGAAACCGGACGGAAGCCTGCACATGTGTATCGACTACCGAGCTCTAACAAGCAGACCATCATCGGTGACATGCTTGACCAGCTTCAGGGAGTTACTGCATTTTCCAAACCAGATTTATGGTATGAATACTGGCAAATACAAATAGCAGAGAACTCCATCCACAAAACAGCGTTCCGCACTCGCCACAGATCGTACAAGTATTGTGAGAGTACGACCCTGTTACACTTCTTTCTCATTTCCATCTTTCTCCTCTATCTTATTCTTTTATTCATCTTGATTCAGGTGGTCTTCGTCTCATCTAATTTGGGTTTCTATTTCTCATTTTCTATTATCCTTTGGTTTATCTCATTATTATAATTATACCACCGACTAGGCTTGGGATGTACTAGCGCGCTATATCTAGCGTAATCCTATCGTAATCCCTTAAAGCCAATAGCCTCGCGTGGCTATACGCAGGGTGATTCTATTTCTAGAAGGGTCTATTCCCTTTGGATAGGATAAACATGTTTACCTGATGTACCTTGGAAGTATAAAATCGCTTTGTATCGATCGATAATGCAACTTTTCCTCGACCCATTCGATCCTGTGACACTTGGTAATCGGAGCCTTTCTCACTCAGCCATGCTCAGTTAAGCAGCGGGAAAACCTGCCTCGAAAAACCGCCGATGGCGACTAATTTGGCGCCGATTCTGGTAAGCACTAGCTCCGCGTTTTTGGAAGTAACCCCTTCGCTCGTGTTTTGAACAGGATGGCGAACTTCGACAACGCCGAGGTTACCCAACTGCTCTTTGCGCGCATCGCCGCCCTGCAGGAGGACATGCGAGCCGACCGCGAAGCTTGGCGAAACGAGTTCGAGCGAGTAACTCAACACGCCGGCGCGTAGCATAAAACAACAACGGGGACGACGCAACAGTTGCAGTAGTTTTTTTAGGCTCCGAAGACGCGCCCACCTGAGCTGTTCGATCCGAGCAATCGAAATTCCGACATCTGCAGATGGATCGCCGGCATGGAGATCTAGTTCGCAACCGTCGGATGGAGTCTAAGACGGTCAACGCATGCGACTCGCGGCAACACTGATGCGAGGGCCGGCACTCGAGTGGATCGGCGGCAACAGTGCCTTTATCCACGGTGAAGCCACGTGGCAGTAGCTCCGCAGTGACCTGCTGAAACGTTTCCAGCTGATAAATTCCGGATTCCTTGTCCGCGAAAAACGTCATCGCCATCGACAGTTCGGGAGTGTAGCGCAATATACGCACCAGATGGATGAATTTTATAACTGCATTCTCGACCTAACCGAAGGGGAAAGGTACAGTCATATCTCGCCGGACTGAAGACCGAAGTCAAACGACAGGTAGCAGCGAAAAATTACGTGAGCTACAGTGACGACGTTTCCGCAGCGGAGCGGTTTGACATGGTCAACGCCGGAACACGACAGGCGCACGTCGGCAGTACGCGACATGGCGACCGCTCGGCTCACCCCACGCTCGCCGACCCGATGGAAATCGACAGGTTCGACGGGCGGCCACGTCCGAAAAACACCAACTTCACGTGTGATTTTTGCGGGGTGCCGGGCCATCAAATGTACGACTGCAATAAAATGAAAGCCGCAAATGCACAGTATCACCATGGGAGATCATGTCTTACTCGACACCCGCAACCTCGACATCAGCCACCTTCGATCTAAGCTCCGACCTCGCTTCCTCGGGCGTTTCCTCGTTGAAGCCCAGGCCACCCTTGTTACTTTCTACTTACGCATGCCAACTACTTGGAAGATTCACAACGCCTTCCATGTCCAGCTCCTAAAGCCCTACTGAGATCGCAATACGATCTTCACCGGACGCCAACTGCCATCGCCGCCGCTCGTCCTCGTCAATGATGAACTCGAGTACAAGGTCGAGTCTGTGCGTGCACATTGCCATCGTCGGAAGGGCACCTCGAAGGGTTACGATCATTTTGAGGATAGTTGGGTCTCTGAATCTGACATGGTTAACGCCCGTCGTCCTCTTTGCAACTACCTTGTCAAATAAGGTGTTCCTTCCACCACCCAGCTTTGAGATGAGGAAGTGTGAGAATACGACCATGTTAAACTTTTGTCTCATTTTTATTTTCCTTTCC